TGTATCTGTCCAGACTTCAGTGATTTTGTCTTCATTTCAGTAATACAGAGTAAATAGTTAGTACAGGTAGATACACTGCTTTCAGTACTGCCTGATGGTTCTACATGTACACATACATAGTTAAAGAAATTATTGTTTGCCTGGAAATGGCATTCATTACACCAACCACGTAATTGCATTACATAGTTCCCGTTAGTTTAATAAATATACCCCAGTAGTTTGTTTTTTTTTCATCTCAATTTAGTTTGGACATATATGATCAGAACATGCATAGTATGATATGAATGGTATGAACTTATTAGAGGGGGAGGGGGTTTACACAAAACTAAGGGTTCCATACTATATTAATCTATCATGCAGGAAATTAAAAAAAAGTATGAAATCATAGCATCAGGTTAATTGATGTTCAATCTGTGTTCATCTTGAATCTGATCGATGTGCATCAAGGCATTCATTAAAACAAAATAGCTACCAGTCAGCCATTTTGAATCCAATTTGTGAACAAAAATGACATGCTCTATGTACTAATACCAGAATTGCTTGATTTTGATGAATTTACAAGCACAAACAATGGCAGCAATTTGGCCATCATGAATCATGTTGGATCATGTTACAAATGGATGAGCATGTTGCCCAAAACATGTGAAGTATGAATGTGATTAGACCAGGCATGTCTGGGATGAAGGTAAATATGCATAGATGCACACACAGAGACTAAATAGGGACTAAAAATACACAGGGATAAGAAGAATCTACACCAAAACAATGAAATTTACCTTCTGTAAAAACTGTATCCACACTCATTCGAACAGTCCCTTATAATTGGGGTTCCAGGCTACTAATCTCATTTTTAAACACTTTCCTTTTTTTACAATGGTCACATAAGCACTGCATGTGTTTGAATCCCATGACTAAAAGCAAATGTTTTTAAAAATGCAAAACATTTTTTGTTTGCTCAGTTTAGTACAAATGGTAGCTCCAGCAGTGGTGAACATGTTTTAGCCATAGATGAGAGCACATTTGTATAAAACTGACCATTATATTTACAGTTTGTTCATTGATGTTCAATTTCCAAGGAAAAACAAAAAAAATCTTGTATCTGGCCACAAGAGGGCAGTCAACTGCAAGAGTAGAACCTCATTTCCCCAACAAGAGTTTTCTAGAACTTTAGTAGCTTTTCAAAATAATTTCAATGTACAACGTATTCAAAAAGGATATCTTCCCCGATCAATGTAGATTTTGTATAAAGTGCTGACAAACTTCTTGTAAATGGTGCATTTTTATTATCACCAGCTGCTTTCAACGCTGCAGTCTCGGTTTGTTTAACAACGCCGACTTTATATCCGGCACTGACCAGTCGTCTCACGTGGACAAATAATCTGTGGACTGGCACGCTGGCTGTCATGAAATTATGATCCAAATGACAGAAAATGTTCAGTTCTTTTGCTGCAATCTGTGGGAGTTAAAATAACAAATTTGTTTTCAGTGAATTAGCATTTTCTGCTGATATTACTGTTTCAATTTATTTTATTTTCAAGATTGAAC